TACCTAAATCATAGATATGTTGCCAGACTTGGGCTTCATAATGATTATGTACCCAACTATCATATGTTTCAATGGTATTTTTTGCATATTCACATACTTCATTGAAAACATCTTTAAAGTCGAGTTTTATTTTATTATCTTTATTCACACGATCTTTTAGATAAGCGAGAATTTTAAAAGTTTGTAAATAACTTTTACATTTTCGTTTTTCTTTATTTAAAGAAGGTGATTTTTCATTATCATTTTCTTCTTCTTCTTCTTTTTCAGAATCAGAAAAATTTATTTGACGCTGGTTATTTCTTCGCATCTTTCTATTATTATTAACAACAACATGTTCATTAACTATTGGAACTTCTGTTGTTGTTCTAGCTTGTCGTTTTTGTTTTTTAGACAGGTTTTTCTGTTTAATCTTTTTACTGTCTTTTATGGCTTCAATTTGATTATCAGCCTCTGAATTATCGGTTGTATAATCATCATTGTTGTCATCATCTATTTCAGATAGAAGACTAAACCGATTATTATCTTTTAAACACCTTAATTCAGTACTTTTTTCAAGTAAAGCTGCTCGTTGTTTTTGACGCCGTGCTCTTCTACGAAGTGTGTCAAGATGAGCTTTTTCAGGTGTTTTCTTTATAAGTGAACGTTTTGGTCCTGAACCTACATTGCTATTATGACTTTTCTTATTCACAGGAATGGGTGTCATTACTGACATACCACGATATTCATGTGAAGTCATATTATTAGCTACTGGTTCTTGTCCTTGCCAACGTTCTGGCATGAAATGAACCAATCGACGTGTCATTGGTGTTCTCCATTTTTCTGTTTGTTTCAGAATTCCACGTCGTGGTGTGTAAGAAGTTACTGAATGACTTTGAACTTGGTTCTTTCTATTATAAATAGATGAACTTTTATTCATTGTCAAATTATCCATTGGACAATAAAATGGTGGTGGTTGTAAGGGCATTTGTTGCCCATATACATAACCTTCCGACCAATTTTTTCGTTGCCAATTTAATGGCATATTCTTAGGATAAAAAAATGGTTGTTGGTAATGAAAATGTTGTTGCTGTTGATAATCAAATTGATTATGTTGTGAATGTTGATAATCAAGTTGTAGAGCATTTAAATATGATGTTGATTGTTGGTTTTGGATTTTTTGCTCCAAGTATAATAAATCAATCTGATATAAGTCTAAATAGGAGAGAAGAGGCCTTCCTTAAATTAGGCCCGAAATATATTCCTAATAACCCTCATCTCGCTCATAAACGTATGAAAAATGAGATAGAAGTGGTTGTTAAGAAATTAAATAAAATATTCGGTGAACACGGATGGGTACTACCTAACGAAAGGTTACAGATCTTTATAGACTCGCTCGAAAAGATCTTGACTGATTGTCATAGAAGGCACCCGCCATCTGTTCAATTAAAAGAAATTAATAATTTAAGAAATAAATTTGAAGCTACACAAACAGTCATCAGAAAGACAGATAAGTCGAAAGTTTTCCATTTAGGAAAATTCGATGATTATAAAGTGAAAGCTCAAATATATATGAATAAAACTAAAGCATATCAAGATTTGGGTACAATAAACCCACTTGAATCTTTAGTTGAACGTACAAATAAGTTTCTTTATGGTTTATGGTATAATAAACATATTACACAAAAACAATATGAGAAATTAAAGGTTAATAAAGAAGATGCCGAATTAGCCCACCTTTATTTCTTACCAAACGCACATAAACCAGGAACACCTTTAAGACCTATAATGTCTGGTCTTAAATCTCCAACTATAGAAATATCTAGATGGTTGGATAGTTTATTAAGACCATTATTCGATCGTATAGCCATAAATACAACCGTTAAAAATGGCCTTCAACTTATACAACAAGTTGAAAGATGGTCGATTACTTACCTTACACCAGCCACATTATTTGTAACAATGGATGTTACTGATTTATATACAATGATTCCACAAGAAGGTGGAGTAACAGTCATAAAAAAAACTAATGGAGGCATCTGGTTTAAAACAAATCGATGGTGTTAAAAAAGAGATTATATTAGCTCTTACCAGATTTGTTATAACAAATAATTATTTCTATCTTGATGGGTCATATTATAAACAAATAAGAGGTGGAGCTATGGGTTCACCTTTGACCCTCACTATAGCTAATGCATACATGTACTTTGTTGAACGTCCCATTTCAAAATGGGCCAACAAAACATGTTCATTATATTTTAGATATATTGATGATTTATTCATAATGTCAAATGTACATGCAGATATATTAAAAGGTCTTGTAAATTTCTGGAATAGAATCGATAAGAATATCGATTTTTCAGAATCTATTAGACAAACTGTAGAGTACCTTGACGTAAGATTGATGATTAATGAAGGAAAATTGATGTCTGAGGTTTTTCATAAACCCTCACATGAACCATATTTTCTTCCTTTCACAAGCATACATACTAAACATATAAAGCAGAATATTCCATATGGAGCTTTTGTAAGAGCAATCAGATATTCTTCAACATATAATGCCTTCAAACATGAAGAAGCTCATATATGTATGTCACTGCTACTTAACAAATATCCAATAGAATTTATTCTTAAACAATTTGAAAGAGTCCTACAGACATTTCATTGCGCAGCGCCTACAAAAAATAACTATTCCGAAATAAGAAAGATTTTGGTATACGCTGCAGATAATAATATAAAGAAGGTTGGAATTGATTTTTTAATTAACATCATGTGTCATTTCTCTTATTGCAAAGGGATGCAGAATTTTTCGACCCGTTTTCATAAACTCTGGGACGATTGTTTTTCTGACACACCCATTTGCAATATGAAACCGGTCGTTGGTTCTAGAAGATTAGAAAATCTTCAAGATTATCTTGTTAGAAAGAAACCAGACAAAGTACCACTTAAAATCGATACTTAGCTTACCGTTATGGGTTTTTACTTAACCCGGACGATGAAAATGGTCTCGGTGTTAATGGTAGCGGTGTTTATTCAACAACAACAACAACAACTGCTTTTTACCATTGAGTCCACCCACGTGTAAATGTATAACGTGTAAATGGGTAACATGAACAATATACGTTTAATTATCATTATTATTATTATTTTTATTGTACGCACGTGAGGCCTTTCTGGCCATAATGCATCGTTGTTGTTAATATTGTAAAAAAGTTTTTTGTAAAAGGTTTTTGTAAAATTCTGAAGAAGTGGGGTTAAAATCCCACAGAAACTAGTCTAAAAAAAAAGAATAAGAATAATAATAAATAATAAAATAAATAAAAATAAAAAAAAATTTACAAAAGAAGAAAAACTTTATTTTTCTCGAGAGAGTATATTGACAAAAGATAGATTATATCTTTATAAGAATAATCGACTACTCTTTTTCATTCGAAGTAGTGAAAATAAGGGTTTTTTTATAAAGTTTGATCAAAGTTTGGCGAAGTCGAGTAACCTGAAACTATCATTCGTTATTGGAAATTTCCAAGTTTGATTTTCTCTTGCAAACTACCGATACTAATACTCCCAATAGCATTTGCTATTGGTATTCGAAGTGTTAGCATTGTTACATCGATCTGCTGATCTATGAGTAACCCTATATAATAGGACTTGAGGACTCATAGGTGCCTCCGTATAATAGGAGATGAGGACCTAAGGGTATCTTCAAATAATGGGAGATGATGACCCAAGGGTAGCTCCATATTATAGGACATAAGGACCTATGGGTATTCCATATAATAGGAGATGAGGACCTAAGGGTAGCTCCATATTATAGGACATGAGTACCCAAGGGTACCTTCAAATAGTAGGATATGACGACCCAAGGGAACCTTCAAATAGTAGGGTATGAGGACCTAAGGGTACCTTCAAATAGTAGGATATGAGTACCCAAGGTACCTCCATCTTATAGGAGATGAGGACCCAAGGGTACCTCCAAATAGTAGGAGATGAGGACCTAAGGGTACCTTCAAATAGTAGGACATGAGGACCCAAAGATACCTCCATATTATAGGAGATGAGGAGCCAAGGGTAGCTCCATATTATAGGACATGAGGACCCAAGGGTACATGCAAATAGTAGGATATGAGGACCCAAAGATACCTCCATATTATAGGAGATGAGGAGCCAAGGGTACCTCCATATTATAGGACATGAGGATCCAAGGGTACCTGCAACTAGTAGAAGATGAGGACCCAAGGGTACCTCCATATTATACGAGATGAGGACCCA